AAAAAAATACAGGAGAAGAATTTAGAATTACAACATGTCTTGTCTGTATATTTTAAACTCTTGATTTGATATGTCATGGATGTCTAACTGAGGCAAAGACTATTTAATTTTTTTAACAAAAAAAAATGCACCACAGACACTGTAACACTAAGAAAGCCAGTAATTTTACTGATTTGGCTGCAAAGTACAAATTATACCTTATGTCCAGCAGGAAGAACTTCTGATTTTTTTGCCCATTAATTTATTTATTGTTCACTACAGACAGCTGATTAAATCTCTTGAGATACACAGGTGCAATTTTTAAATTTGTTGTAATATCTTGTCATCTAGTGGCGACAAAGTCCAGCTTATGCCGCTGTGAGCCTCTAAGCTTAATATTTCTAGTAAAACGCTTTCATGTGCCCATCAGCAGGAGAATATCACTGATTTAATTAAAGCAAATTCCCAGGATTAAAATAAAATAAAGCAAAAGCAAATCATCTGAAGCAATCCAAGTCAAATATTTTTTAGGTTAAGTGAGTTTCTTTTACCACTGAGCTGACATCTTTGAATAAAATTGAAGTATGGGCCCCTTTGAGGTACAAGCAGGGACAGCAAAACTAAACAACATGATTATGCCCATCCTGATGTAGATAATTTGATACAAAGGGTGCAATTCTACACTTGGATTGCTCCACATCTTTGGTTAGAATATGTTCATAGAAGCCTGTTACTAGTTGAGAATGAGGTCTTCTCCACTAACACTAATGTTCCACCAGCCATTTGAGGGACTCACCGTGTCAAGAAATGGAGGCCACAGACGTTAAGATGTCACTGCAGATGGCATAAAATGGGAGCAGAGGAATATGCTGGGTTTAGGCAATAGCATTTATTGAGGTTTCAAGTGGCTTTTTGGGACATAAAGGCAAAGTATTTGCCTTCTAGAGGCAGCAGGAAAGAAAGAAAACCAAATCAAATCAAACCACACTGTTGCATCTATGAGGAAGATGGGTAAAAGCTAAGACAAAGTCAAACAATACAAAAAGGGGTTCTTGACATTCTTGAAAACAGCATAGCAATTGTTTTATTCTTCCATTTTAGATGTGTTTGGGAAAAAACCCTCTGAGAAACAGCAGATATCACTGTATTATTAAAAATGTTAAATTCCACTCCTGGAAAAAATAGAAATCATTTGATTACCAAAAAATGAAGAAGAAAAATAACACCCGTTGATAAAGCACTAAAATGATTTTTAAAATCTCCTTTTCTGAGAAAGGCATCAATGCATACAATATATAAATGTGTGCTCTATTAGATTTCCCCAACCTAGTGTTCTTCATATATGAATTAAAAATTTCATCTTTCCCAGCTAAGGTATGGCCAATCCCTATTTCCTTTTCGGGTAGGAATTTTACTGTGACACTATATTAAAAAGGCACTAGATTTGGAAAGGGTGGTGTATATGCTATACTGTCATCAGAAAACATGCTTTATCCCTTCATTAAAAAGCTATTTCCAAAATAAATATCATCTTAAGGGGAGAAGACATTCTTTTGGCTATTGCATGTTGCCTTTAATTTTGTTCTGCTCAGGTTGAAGAAAGTCTCAATCCTTTTATGAGGCACTGCCCCAAAACTGCTTACATACAAAAGAATCACACCATAAGTCCCTCCGTGGTAGTTTTACCAAAAATTATTAAGGTATAGATAAAAAGAACAGTTAAGGATTGACTGCTAAAGCTTCTAGAAAATAACATCACCATTAAACATTGTGCTTCTTTATTAATTAAATCCATTTACAATGTTCAGTTAACCCTAGGATTTGTGCCTCTATATTTTAGTTTAGCTCAATAGTGGAAAAAGGAAGAAATACTAATATCCATTCTTGCACAATTCAATTCAATTGCCTGGCTGAGTGGGAGGAGCTTATTTCCATTGGTTCACATATATAGAACCTCTCAATTCTATAGGTTCAAGAGTAATTTTATGTGTACATGCGTATGGCTGTCACTCTCACCCTCCCACATTGACAAATGACTTACAACTATGCTGGTAAGCCAAATATTATTTCTTTCTTTTTCTTTTTCTTAAAAAATGCCACATACATATTGCATATTTAATTCCTGTTGAAGATGAATGTTCTCAAGTGGTGCTAAATGTTAAAGTGAAGAAAATCATTTGGAACCCTGACTGAAGTTAGTAAAATCAAACATTGGCACCATTCTCACTTCCTTTAATGCAGGTGTTATCTGTTTAAAGTCATTGGTGGAATTAATGCATTATCAAAGCAGTTTTTCTATTATCTAGAACATACATGCAAATGATATGGCTTCAGCATACTCCCAAGATTTTCTGGGCTAGTCAAGAAATGCTTAGGATAAGAAAAAGCAACTGCTAAGCCAGCCTGGAATCATAAGCTATGACACTACAGCTGTGGTATAGCTAACGTGGTATCATTATTACTGATTTTGTTAAAAGTGAACAAAGCCGTACATCTATATTTGGTTGGTATCCTTAATCAAACAGAGTTTTCACAACTTTCTTATGTAGACATCTATGTCTACATTAACATTTGCCAAAGTCAGTTGGTTTGCTAATGCTTGTTCATGACTCTGGAAAAGTCTCACAGATTAATCAGCAACTGGATTAAGTGGTAAAGAGTGAATAGGAGTCCAGACTTTTCACTCTGCTTTATATTAATACTGTATCAAAATGAGCAGTTCAAGGAACTGCATCATAAACTGTGCTTTGACTCTAATGTGCTAGAAATTACTCATATTTCTTCCATCCTACATTGCTACCCTGCCCTCCTGTCCTAAGAAAGAAAATAAGCTACATCACTTGTAGCATTTACTCAGTCACTTGCTCAGCTCAGCAGAGTGGACCATCAAGACCTAATTTGCATGACAGATCTTAAAGCTCCAAGAAATATAAAACAATTATAAAGAATAAAATAAACTAAGTCATATACAAAGGGATTCTCCTACAGCACTGGGAATCCAGATATACCTTTCACACGTTATTTAGTATGGGGGAAAAATATCCTTTCCTTTCAAGAATCAATCCCAGTATGTGTGAAGGAAGGAAGTATTTAAAGCAAATGACATAGCTTTCATGCATTTTTATGCCTGCTAAATTATAAATAATATGTGCTAATGTCAAAGATAAATTAGATACCCTGTGCAGGCATAACTTTATTCTGATATTATTCTTAATTAAAGGTATGGGTAGGAATTATGGATAATGTTCACTTTCTCCAATAAGAGGAAAGTAGAACAGAATGGATGTTGTTCTGGGTGACCAAACCAATTAAATTAGAAAATTATAATAGTCAATTTTTATAGCAAGGCTGATTGCTCAAAGAAAACACAGCAGCCACTACATTTGAATGGAACTGTGGAATTCAGCTCTAGTTACTCAACATGATGCACATGCTTAACACCAACTAAATACAGATGTCAAAATAAGCCCAACACTTTTCAGTGGTCCATACATTCAGCCATAAGTCATCAAGTGTTGCATAGCAAAATACTGAGTAAACCTATATTCAGTCATCTGGAAACAAATCCCTTTGACCTTATTGGATTTATTTTGCAGTATACCTGTACATGATGGTATTATAAATAATGTAATGCACGTATAAATTCATTCTTGGACATAAACAACTCAACATTTATAGCCAGATTGAAGTTAGAACGGTGACCTTTTGGTGCTATTCCTGTCCTCAATTACTCTGTATGAAAGAGTACAAAAAGTAAAGAATCACAGCGTTGGAAGGGCTATCTAGGCCACCAAGGCCACTTTTCCTTGATCACATTTGAATCTGAATCTGCTTGTAGTTCTGAGATAACCTACTGAATGTTGGACATAACATATGCAGTCAGGATACCAAATTTGGGGTAATTGTTATGGATTTTAAAATTATGTTCATTTTACTCCAGATTTCCATTTTGTTTGGGATTGTGCAAGCTTTCTCAGTTACCTCTTACAGCTAAAAGATTGCTAGTTATATAGGATGTATAGAAACAAGACAGTTGAGCCACATTGTGATCTAAGGGGCAGAAAGCCTCAAGATACGTAAAACATAAATAAGGTACGAAGAACATTTCAAATATATGATGAAACTACTCAAGATGCAAAACTGACTGCTGATGTATTAGTATGATATGGGCTGCTTTAGGAAGGGAAAATCCTAATCGTTTGCAGATTAGCCCCCAACAGCTGACTGATTCTGTAAAATGTATTCTGATTAAAAGAAAAACTAAAAGGAAAAAATAGTTACTTAAATGTGCAACTGCACAAATATAATTCCCCCACTATTAAGATAACAAAAACTTCTGCTATTACCATAATTATTATATATATTAGAAAGCTATACACAAGCATGTTAATTTCACAGATTTTTTAAAAGATTCTTAATATTTTATATAATTAGAAATACACATTTCAAAAACAAAATTTCTGCAAAGAGAAAACAATTACCTTGGTTAGCAAAGCATGGAGTTCTTCATGGCTTAGGGTAGTGCTTTCTATACAAAAAAATCCCCCCTTTTGTTTCCTTCAGGGCTGTTTAAAATATTGGCAAAGCTATGAAGGGGGAGAACACATTTTGGCTTATGTAAAACTACAAAAAGCCACAATGCTTTGCAAACTCTGTCTTACTTTTTAATATGAAAATAAGGAAAATGTAATTTACATATTTTTTAATATTTTTATTTAATAAGTGATCCAGACCCAGAATTTAAAAAAAAATTAAATAGGTTAGCCCTCACACTAAAAAAAAGAACCCCAAAACATTTTTTCCCCCACAAGTATGGTCCTCTTTTAAATGATTTTGATCCGTTTAACTGAGTGCCATACTCATACAATATGCCAACACATTTGTGAGCATTTTCAGATACACGAAGTCAGGGGTCTCCAACCTTGGCAACTTTAAGACTTGTGGACGTCAACTCCCAGAGTTCCTCAGCGAGATTTGCTGGCTGAGGAACTCTGGGAGGTGAAGTCCACAAGTCTTAAAGTTGCCAAGATTGGAGACCCCTGCACTAAGTGAGGTAAAATTTTCCTTCTTTTCTTTTTTCCTTAATCACCCGATTTCTGGGTCTCCCAAAACATCTGTACAATTTCTATTTGTTGCATAACAGCCACTTTCTCTCTCAGTAAAGATTTGCCCAGGATTGGGCAAATGCCTCCTCTTTTTCCCCCCTGTTTTTGGCTATTTACATGTAAATAACGTTGAACCTGCAACATGACACTATCTATTGTAACATACATTTTGCAAGGGAGCACAACAGTAAAAAGAAGTTAACCTTAAAACCTATTTTGTACAAGTGATCTGTTGTACAACTCAAGTGCGAAGCATCTCTTCAGCATTGCTGTTTATCTTTTTTAATATGGTATCACTGAGGCAATTTAAAAGTACTTTTACAAAACAGAGTACCTGACTTTCCCCCCCTCCCCACACACAGCACATATAATGCATATTGACCCCCCTCCCACTTTCCCCTTAAGGTATAGCACACACACGCACTGCAAGGAAAAAAAAACCTCTAATAGCTAGTAAAGTTATCATGTTGCCCATCCTTCAGAGAGCCGCATGCGCTTCACGGAGGGACTTTCCCTTTCGTCCGGCGAAGGTCTGGTGAGTCCAATGGGAGAGTGGAATTCATTTCGGTGATCTTCCCTGTCGCTTCCATCGTAGGAACTACTACAGCTGCTCAAGCTGTCAACAGGAGATCTTCCCGCCTCGTGGCGCGTGTGCTGTGGATATCTCGATGGCGTGGTGGTACGGTCTCTAGGAGGAGAAACAGGTTCGGACTTGATGTTGAGGCTTTGAGTAGAAGGCAGGGAGAGATTTGTATTCTGAGATAAATGAGTGCTAGTGCAAGCTCTGTAGGAGGAAAGGAAACCCAGTTACAGACGGAGGAGGCAGGGCCCCCTGAAATGCACACTTATACAAAATACCAGCTAAGAGACAGGGGGGGGGGCGACTTATCCCTGCACAAAGCCAAGGAGGACTGTGTGTGAAGGATTGTCTCTGCAGCTGTGGGACATGTCTGAAAGGATGACTCTCCTAAGATGGTCCTTGCAGTTTGTTCTATGGATTGCTCAGAATTGCAGCCAGGATGATTTTTATCTCAAATGGAAGTAGTGTGAGCTACACCCTGCTGTTTTTGAAACCATGACTGATTTCTTAATGTGTGCATATACAGAAAAGTCATTTAAAAAGATGGTAGGCTGTATGGCAGACTAGTGTAGATGGCTTATAACTCAACTACAAGAGCAATTGGGGTTGTTCTAGTCAGCATCTTTTGGTTTTTCACATGGCTTTCAAGACATCATAGGTTCATTCTTCTGGACTCTGGTGAGTGTCCTGAGGTGTATGGCAACTCATATTGGAAAGAGGTTTGAGCAAAGGTTCAGGAAATTTCCTACCAAAATTTGTATCACCCTAATGGTACATAGAAACTAATATTCATTTTTAGTATAAGCAAAATGTTGATTCAAGATTGGATACAGAAAGTTCTGATTTATTCTAAAGCCTTGTTACATTAGAAAAAGTCACCAAACGAAACCATGATTTTGAGTTAAACACCACCAAATTATCTGTTGCTTATTGCCTCCTGTAATTTCTCCCCTCTCTCCTCTTTTGACAATGGAATTGGAACCAAGAGGGTTTTTTATTTTCATGTTTATTTTCAATATAATTATTTAAATCAGTGTTTCTCAAACTCAGCAATATTAAGATGCAGACATTTCATCTCCCAAAATTCCTCGGCCACCATGTGGATAAATCCTCAACCAATAAGCGTTCAAAATGTGCTAATAGCTATGTTAATGGCAATGACTTGAAATGTCCTCATCATGACATTCAACTTCATTAGTCAAACATAAACGTCTTACATACTTATGACAATATTTGAAATTTCTATCATAACTACTAAGATGTCTAAAATAGGCTTGTTTTCTAGACCCAGAAGAATGGTGATGGGAAGGGAAAATGTTATGTGCATAATTTCCCAACTTTGTGAATACTTGTTGATGGTGCATGGAAGTTGTATATCACTCAGAGCTGACAGGGCAGATTGAATGTTCCACCGAGGGATGAAAGGCTATGGCATAAAGGAGATATGTCATTTGAGCACTGGAGCTGCACATTTTAAAAAACTGGAAAGCCCACATGCTCAGCCCTAACCCTCTAAAATCTTTGTGGCTAAACACAATGTGAAGGACTGTAGCCAACTGTTCTCTAAACTCTCCAGAAATGCAAAACAATGCTAGATATCTATCCTTGGAATGATGTGGCAATGCTTTTATCATTAATTGTCACAATGTTTAATAATGAATGGCTATTGTTAGTCAACAAAGAAGAAGAGAAATGCTGCAATCCGTAATTGCTTTCATCTGCCCTGCATTCAGCTGATTTTGTCAAAATTGGTGCAGTTGTTTAATGGACAAGCATGTTGGCCCTACAGTTGCGGTTGCGTGAAAAGCAAGCCAAAGGGTAGAATTGTCTTGATTTTACATTCTTGGCAATACCTGAAGTTAACACACTGTCTATTGTTGGGATCAGTTAACTATTGGAAATTAGTTCAACTTGCTGTGTAATGAATATCTTTATTTGCTGTGGAAGCTAGAAGCACTAGCTATAAATAAGGTCTCATACATAGTTTTCTTGATTTCTAAAAAAGTAAAATTGTACACTCTTAAGATCCAGTTTACATACTAAATTGGATAGAGCAGAATTAAAAGAAGTATTTTCTTTTCTTTGGGCCTAACAAACTGCTACTTAATTTCAGATTAAATCTGATTTACAAGATTTACAGAAGGAATTGCCAAGTGAATTCCTTATTTTCTTATTTTTTTCAGTTAGTTCCAATTTTTGACAAATGTAAAATAAATATTCATAGAATATTGTACACACAAAATTAAGGCAGATATTTTATGGTGGCACTAGAAATAGATGATAGTGTGTGTCAAGTCTATGAAGTTTTGCTATTGGTTTAACACAGTGATGGCAACCATTTTCAACACTGAGTGCCCAAACAGGAATGTGCGTGCATGCGCATACACACGCTGGGGCACCGGAAACCCGAGCACCAAATGGCTGGTGCGCATGCATGTGCTGGCCACCTGGTCTTCAGGTTTCTGGCACATGCATGCATGTCGGCCAACTGATCTTTGTGTTCAGTGGAGCACCAGAAACCCAAACACCAGGTGGCCGGTGCATGCATGCACACTGGCCACCTGGTTTTTGGGTTTCCAGCACTTCAGCGTGCGCAAAGACCAGTGTGCCGGAAACCAGAAGAGCAGCTGGCGATGGCATGCGTGGGTGCCACCTCTGGCATGTGTGCCATAGGTTCACCATCACTGGTTTAGCATTTAATTATGAACCTCGCTTTCTTTGTGAAACAAGTCTGTTTATGCTATGGTATTCAATTGAAAACATTTTTTTCACTTTAAATGCTTACGTGGAGTATTTTCTATTTTGTAATGTATTTTTTAAAAACACTTAAGATTAATGCACAAAGAATATTATTATGAAGATTATAGGAAATATATAATAGACTTTTGACGGTAATACAATTTTTACTTCTTACATACAAAATAATTGGTATAATCCACTTCTCACTGAAGTGAATGGTACCCTGTTTAATTTAAATAGGACTGAGCTACTGCTTTCAATGCATCCTGAAAGAAGGGCATCTCAGTAAATAGGCCCACAAGGGCCTTTTATTACAAATAGTCCTTGATTTATATTGTTCATTTAACAACATATTCAAAGTTAGGACGGCCTTGGAGAAAAGTGAGTTATGATCTCTATGTATACTTATGACTGTGACACAACTCCTTGGTCATGTGATAACAACAGGGGTGCTTGGCAACCTACCCACAATTATTACCAATTGAAATGTCTTGCAATCATATGATCAACATATGCAACTTTTTGCCATTTTTTCTGGCAGAAAATGCCTATTGGACAAGTTGGATTTGCTTAACAATCATGGTCACTCATTTCATGACTGGTGTAAAAACTGTTCTAAAATCAGGACCAATTCTACTTGCAATTGCACTATGTCTGGTGGAAATTCCATTTGTGGACATAAATTGAGGAATATCTGTAGTGCACTCATGTCTCCAATCACTGAAAAGAAATTCAGCCTTGACTATGTGCAATTCAGCTCATAGGAAAAGTGAACATTATGGTTTGCCAGTTCCCTTGTTCCACTGGATTTGTTTATATTTAATTTTTTGTTTCTGGAACTTACAATAGCATAGTATACATTAGTATAGGCTTTTCCCTCCTGAATTTGCCACTAGAGGGCAGGAATGCATGCCCTTTCACTGGGAAAATAAACACTACACTTGCTCGCTGGCAACCTTTTGAATATGTAATTTATCATCTTATAAGGGGAATAAGTGAAATATCTGTGCCTCTTCTAAAATGCTTGACGCTCAAGCAAATGTGGATTATGTGTGGTTCAAGCTGGTAGGTCAGTTGGTAATACTAAGCAGACAGGTATTGCAAAGTGCAGTAAAGTCTTAAAGTCTGAATGGTTTAAGGCTCTGGTTAAAAGCAGAGAAGAAAAAACAAGAACCCTTGAATTCTAATATCACTGCGCCTACAAGGTTATGATACAATCAGCAAAGATTGGGGAAAATTTATGTTAATAGATTGGGGAAAACAGATGAGCTCTAAATGAATTGCTTATCTGCTTTCAAGGTCTGAACTTTTGGCCTGTAATTTCTAGACTCAGCTCAAGTAGGTGGTAAGTTTATGTGAGCTTTTCCTCAGAAATGATGGAAGTATGCCTTCTGTCAAATAATCTACAGGATTTTAGACATTCCAGTCATTTGATATCTCTTGGGATGCTAGCTATTAAAACAACCACATTCAAAGTACAGGTAGTCCTCAACTTATGACTATAAGAGGGCCCTAAAATTTGTTGTTAAGCAGTGCAATCATGTGACTGCACTCAATTTTATGACATTTTTTCTGCTGCCATTTAGCGAATAGCAATAGCAATAGCAGTTAGACTTATATACCGCTTCATAGGGCTTTCAGCCCTCTCTAAGCGGTTTACAGAGTCAGCATATTGCCCCCATAGTCTGGGTCCTCATTTCACCCACCTCGGAAGGATGGAAGGCTGAGTCAACCTTGAGCCGGTGAGATTTGAACCGCCGAACTGCAGATAGCAGTCAGCTGAAGTGGCCTGCAGTACTGCACTCTAACCACTGCGCCACCTCGGCTCCTTCACCGTGGTTATTGAGATGTCACATGACCACCAGTTCTCCATTGACTTCGCTCGTTGGAAACTGTCTGGGAAGGTTTCAAATGGCAACCCTGTGGCCACAGGATGATACAATGGTCCTAAATGCACAACAGTTGCCAAGCACTCGAATCTTGATCATGTGACCATGAGAATGCTGGTACGATTGTAAGAGCAAGGACGGGTCATAAATCACCTTTTTTTTCAGTAGTGTTGTAATATCTGTTGCTAAATGAATGGTGGTTATGTGAGGATTCCTTGCAGGGGATTTACTATAGTCCTTTTTTCACCTTTTACAACTCTCCATGATAGGATGATATCTTAGATGATCTAAATTGACTTGTCTTTCACTTGGGACACACCTCCAGATTGAGAGAATGGGACTGTATGGAAGGAATACTGGTTTCCCCTCCCTACCTCTTGCTGTTTTGAGGCAGGTCAAGAAAGAAAGAGGAAGAAAGAAGCCACATTCAAGGGAGCAAATGGGTTCTCACCACTGTGCTTTTGGGGTAGCTGAATTTGGGCTAGAAGGTTATTTCATGGCCAGCCCGGGTGAAGCCAGCTGCTTCTAGCCTAATGTAACGTAGCTGAAACACATAGTAGCCAAACTCAGAGACCACCGAGAACTTCATAGTTCCACCCTGAGCTTCATCTGTTCTCTTCTATTGGTAACATGAAAGTCAACTGGGTGACCCTGGACCAGTCATTTTCTTTCACCACACAGGATTGTTGTTGTGGAAAAACAATAGAAGGAGGGATATGGATCTGTTCCCCACCTTGAGTTATTTGTAAAAATAATAAAGGCGGGATACAAATAAATAAAATAAAACATGGCCTAGTAAAGCTAATGTTGAAACTCTACTACCAAGACAATTTAATCCCATAGACCACCTGTTGCCTGATTTCACTAACCTGCTCTCCTCCCCCATGTTAGCTAATGACAAAAAAATGCTGCACTGCAATCTATCCATATGCATGATGCATCAATCACTGACATATTGCAGGCCTGCCATTTGTTATGTGTTACACCTGCCTCTCATATCACTTTCTACTGACAACCAGCAGAATGTTATCTACAGAGGAAGGGACACAGGGCAGAATTAGATGGAGGCCACTCTCTTGGTTTTTTTGTAGGAAAAAGAGAATTCAGTCATTCTGCCAAGACTATAGCTTTGGTTCCTTTCAAGGGTACTAGAAACTCTGAGCATTTTTCTCCAAACACTGGACTGGCTATTAACTGTTATTTCTCCAACAGAGAGGGAAAAAACTTTATAACCAAAACCAGGATGATGATGATGATGATGATTGGGGGGAGAACGACAGGGAAGGAAAGAGATATCATGGGTCTTTTAAAAATAATATGATGCTTTGAATTCTGACTTACCCCAATTGACTGAGGGCAGATGGTGGCATGTTGTGTAGATGTTGCTGCTGCCAGCCAGTTACTGAACCCAAGTGGAGAGCACTGGCTGTGTTAAAGCCAGACAATGATGACAAATCTGCACTACTTAGCGAATACTCTGAATGCAAGAATAAAAAAAAAACAATTTCAAAATTAAGAAGAAAGAGTTTGATAACTATGAACAAATTCTCTCCAATTCCATTAATAAGGCATTGTAACATCTTTTGCAGTTTTGGTATTAAAGACGCTCCCTTCTCTTCCCCACTCACTGCGAGCACAATAGGTGGACACATGCATAAATAGACAAGTGCATAAACTCAGCTTACTATCTTAGGATATAAATACTAAATATGTGATTTTCTGGTTCCTGGTGAACTTTCAGCTTGTGAAGTTTTGTAATATTTATAGCACACATTTATCAACACCAAAAAATGAAGCCTACAAAGTCAGTTTACTTGCAAGGAATGGGAAACCTATGACTCTTTGGATATTGTTGGGCAAGAAGTTATGTGGCCCTGCATAGCAATGGATGCTGGGCACTCTAGATTAGCACCTACTGGAAGACCAGGGTTCCTTCCCTTGATACTGAGTATGGGCCAAATATATCAGCTTTAAGGGAAATTAAAGTGCAATCAAAATTAGATTAGCTTTGGATTCTTGGAAATAGCAACCTTAGGCCCTGGGGTGGGTTTATTACTATGTTCCCATGGACTGTGACGTTACATACACATTCAAGCTTGTAAGTACAGAAGTGAAGAAAGGTGCAGAAACTCAGTTTTTGCATTGTGTAGCCTCTAGACCAGCCAGGCTCATATTGAGTTTTAGAACCCTAATCAATGGAGGATGGACATACTTTGGGCTTCAACTTTTGGAGGTACCTTGAACTGGAAAATGCCTCCCCATTCCAGATAAGCATTAGGTGCAGCCATTCTTGGCTCTGCAAGGCCCTGCATATTATACAATAGATAGTTCTGGAGTGATATGCCCTCTTACTATCATTATTGTTTCCTATCATGTCTTTCTAATGGACAAATGGGATTGCCACACGAGTGTACAAATAAGACACTGTGGAGTCTGCAGTTCAGGTAGGTTTGGAAGTATTTCTGCTCTTTCAAAAGTGTATGATGTAGATAGGTTATACCTACAATGTGCCAGCAGGCACAAATTAATTATTAGAGTAGGAATGTCAAAGCACTTTCTGATAAGGGAAATTTAAGTGGCTCTTCAACTGTTAAGTGTGAATGAGTGATTCTTAAGCCACTTAAAAGCAATTATTATTACGATGCACAACAAAAACGAGACAGGATTCTACATATGTTTCATTTCATATTACCACAAGCATCAAATTCATAACTATTTGGGTTATCTTGTATGTTAATATCTGGCTTTTTCCTCAATTAATCTATAAGGTTCAGAATTATGTGGAAACTTACCGGTACCATATGTTGTTGAAATGGCTGACGGGTATCCTCCCATCCCTTGCCCTGGTAAAGTAGGAGTTGCCACGGAAACCACCGGAGTAGCCAATGACTGAGCAGACTGAGAGTTATTTATCCTTTGATTCTTTTAAATGAGTAAAATAAACATATTAATGGAAGCATGGAAAACATTTGAAACAAATTATATTTAGAGATTGGATTTGTTCCTATGGTACAAAATTGCATACAGATTTTACTACATTAATCATTTATCCTGTCGCTTTTATGAACTCTGCCAATCTCATGATTTATCATTTTTTCAAGAGAACAGTTGTCACCATAGTAACTCATTAAATCAGAATCTCCTAGGTTACCAAACATATAAGATTTTTCTCCTCCCCCCCCCAATATACATTAGGAGCAGTCATATTAGGAGGATAAGAATATTTAACGTGTAATCATTTAGGTTTCAAAAAAATTGCCTGAAAATGTAACTAAAAATATATGTTACCCCTTCATCCCAGTTCAGTTCCAAGGATGCTTTTAAAAAGTGTCCAAGTAGGATGAGTTATGCCAGATGGTAGTAGAGGATTAACTGTTGAAAGCAACCTAATGATATGACCATGATAGATGCCTATTCAACTTTTCTATGGTTTCTGTTACAATTTGGGGCAAGTGCAGAAGCCTGCTTACATACACAGACCTCCTTAGGTGAACTGGCTGCTTATGCTTAAAATAGGGAAGCTAGATGATGAATATGCAATACTGCATATTCTATTTTCTCCAGCAGATGGTGCTATGGTCACTTCATTCTTAAAAATGGTGAAACTTATATGAAAAATATTTTATATATTTACCCTGTATTTTTTTTTTACTGTGGGACTTTAACATGTACAAATCAAGATTGGAAATTTAAAGGCATAGGGCATTTGGCAGAAACATTAAAAAGTTTGGGCATTCAAAGGTGACATTACTGAAATCCAACGTTTTTAAAATTGTTGCTTTACAGCAGTTAAATACAAGGTTTTCAAACAACTTTCAAGCCTTAGATGATAGATGGGATAGACTTCTATTTGTTTTTGAAGAAAAGTTCCATTATATTTCAGCTGCCAAATCAGTAGGGAAAGGCAAATGAATTGTTTCTGCACGTCTTCAATAAACATTATCCCCACTTACCAAAAGCAGATCAACATCCTCAGACTGATAGCATGAGAGAGGAGGATGAATAAATTAGGAAAAGCAAATATTCTAAAGCCTTCTGCTTCCAATGCAAGAAGGCATTGTTTCACAATAATGCACAGTAGAATTGGCTATCAAGCTAGTTACGTACTCTAATATAATCTCATTAAACATTATTTAAATTCCTATGTTTAGGACATAAAGTCCTGGTTAGCTTCTTCCTTTTCCCCTTAGAGATGAAGATTAATCTAAGAGTATCACACCCATGTTTTTGCTTTCCTAATCATGACTCCATCTGCGACTCATCCTCAATGACATCATTGTTGCAAAATATCTTGCCAATCAGATGACCTCTTGGAAAGTATTATTAGTTTAGATGTTCCTAGAAATAAAACATTTGATGGAGATGTTTTCTAAAGGTCAGCTGCACAAGCAATTCAGCTTATCCTATTCCTTCAAGAAGAGATAGTTGGGTTTTATCCAAATGGAAACTACAAAGGGGATGCATAAATGCATCAGGCTGGTAGTTTTAACACAGAACTATTTAAAATAATTGTCAATTTGATTTAGAAAGAGCAGTATCCTCAGAATTACCTAGCATTTCTTGTCAGATTTGTTTTTCAAATAGTCCTACTTTTATGGATTACACGGAAAATTAACCTCCTATATTCTTTCATAGAACATAATGAAAGATACGAGTTTAATGCACAAGGATACTGTAGATATTGCAGAAATAAAGATACACTTCTTCAGGTTATTACTTTTTGTTTCAATTAAAACGTAAAGTATTGTTTTCATATGATGTCAAAGCATAGCTTTAAAATGCTATATACGGTAATAAAAGAAAGTATGAAATCACAGAGAATAGCAACCTTTTAAAAATACAATTGAAAAAAAACCTGGCTATAGTAGTAGCACTCACGAATCAAAATTATATAAAAGTATCATCATTTGAACATAAAATCCAAATTCAGACTAGTGCATTGTTTTGATTTTTGTCAAAATACAATTCTTGTAAAATTCATTTCTGTCTTATCTGCACCAAGCCTTATTGAATTCAAGGAGACAAATCCTAATTAAGTTTACAAGGAATTGAAGCTTTGGTTTGTTCCCTGATTCAGAATATTATAAATGGTTGCCTCACTCCTAGGAAAAAGTTGAAATTTTATATAAAATGGGCTGCTCTTGAGAACAGGAGGAGCAAACAGCGAAATAACAATGTTACAAAATATTAAATACTGTGTTTGAAAACAATATTTTTATTAATTTAATTCATGTATTGCGTATGATTTTAAGTTGCCTCTATCTAGGTGGCAGGTATTGCTTATATCATGTCCTCTCCCACACACACTTCTAATAAAAATACGTAAAAATATCCAGCCAAAATGTCCCTGCCTTCAAACTGTCACTATGGTAAAAAGTAAGGTAAAGGTAAAGGTTTCCTTAGCACATATGTGCTAGTCATTCCTGACACTAGGGGGAGGTGGTCATCTCTGTTTCAAAGCCATAGAGCCAGCGCTGTCCAAAGATGTCTCTGTGGTCATGTGGCTGGCATGACTAAATGCTGAAGGCGCACAGAGCGCTGTTACCTTCCCACCAAAGTGGTCCCTATTTTTCTTCTTGCATTTTTACATGCTTTTCAAACTGCTAGATTGGCAGAACCTGGGATAAGTAACAGAAGCTCACTCCGTTACACGGCGCTAGGGAGTGAAACCATTGAACTGCCGACTTTTCTGGTCGACAAGCTCAGCATCTTAGCCATTGAGCTACCGCGTACACCTACATAATTTTGAGGTTGATTAAATGGGTAATAAAGACAAATAGCTGAATAATGTATATATAATCAGTTATTTTGTGGAAACTATTCCCTATCTGACAAATGGATTGAAATAAATCAACTCTATTAAAAGTTTTTTCTTTCAAAAACCATGGCACTGTTGTTTTCAAGTAACCTCCTTAACTTTTCAAATAATTAAGTATAATATTAGACCTTTATAGCAATTTCTGGTTGAAGGAAGGATAAATCTGGGCAGGACTCAGACTGTTGCTAGTATTCATTCTGCCATGAATTTATCTGGAGCAACACTTCCAAATCTCATCCCATTGAATCTACAGGAGAATTGCTTTCCATTCCTATAGTGCATTATTAAGAATATTGCCAAACCATCCTGCAAACTGCTTGAAAATAATTTTAATTTAATAATCCCCAGCCACACCTAACAAGTGCTGTCAAACTATATTTGGGTTGCAAATCCCAGAATCCTGAGCTGTTGGCATGTTGGCTGGAAATACCAGTAAGTACAATGTCAACTTATGTCTGGAGAGTGACAATTGGCAAAAGACTTAATACATCAATCTATTCATTGTTGAACTAAATCTAGCTGAAAACCCTTTCAGTTTAAGAACAAGAGCCCTGAATAATATTCTTGAGCAAATAATTTCCTACCATTTAGGTTAATCTAAAGCCCATTGGAATCTTTGTATCTTTGAAGGAAAAGGAAGAAAATAATGCATTACCACAGATGGCATTGTGTTCTTGCTTCCCGGTGGAATCAGCACTCGGAGGTCTGGTTTACGATTGTTCAATCCCAAATTCATGGGTGGTGGTGATTTTGCTTGCATATTCTTGTTCAAGTTGCCAGGTGAGACCAGCAGACCTGGGGAGTTCCTAGGGTTGCCATACCCATTCCCTGTTCATGTTGCAAAGAAATGCAAACAAATGCAAGTTTAACAATGGATTCCTAGGTAGGTAGATTGAAATATCCTCAGGGAATATTGTTCTTCTTTTCAGTAAGATCAATATGTGTTTACCAATTGTTCTAAAGACCCACACTAGTATTCCCCAAGTTGGCTAAGATTTTTTGGGCAGTTACATATGGAAGGTGCCTAGAAAAGGAATGTGGTGTCTGATGAACCAGTGGGATGGAATCGTTTCCTTAAAATAATAAAAGTAGCAAAATAGAAGATAATTGGTCATGATAGTTGCTACAATAACCTCTCTTCATCATCCTAAGTGACATGTATTGCATGAATTGCAATATTTTAAAATAAACTCGCAAAGGTAATTAACACACCATTACAGAAGTGTATGTTAATTTTTAATTGATATTTTATCTATGTTATGCTAGTATTTTATCTCTTTGTATTTTTATTTCACGTTTTGCTGGTCATTGTTTGAATAAACAGTATTTCATTTCATTATTTCATTTTGTTTCATTTCACTTCATGTGGTATGTACAGGTAAGCATCCTAGCTGAGTAGTAGCAGAAGACAACAATTGTTTGGACTGAAATTTTGGAATGTAGAACAACGGGTCTGCATATTCATTTTCAAATTTGTATTTTGATAATCCTCTGACTAAGCCATACAAAAGCTGTGAGCTACCTTTTGATTGTTTGGAGCCACATATATTCACACTCTGAAGTGGGTGGTATGATATGTAAACTGAGTACAACTATATCATGCACATGGGCAGATTAAAAAACATTCTGGTTTTGCTGAGTTGTGAGGACTATTGTGAGAGTTTCAGAACTAAATTACAGATAGTCCTTGATTTACAAACTTTTATTTAGTGACCGTTTAAAATTACAAAGCACTGAAAAAAGTGACTTAAATCATTTTCAAACTTACAACTGTAGCAGCATTCCCATGGTGGTTATGTGAATCAAAATTTGGATGCTTGGAAACTGGCATGTATCTATGATAGTCATAATGTCCTGGGATCACTTTTTGTGACCTTCTGACAAGCTAAGTCAAAGGGGAAGTCAGATTCTCTTAACAACTATGTTCCTAACTTAACAACTGTAGTGATTCCCTTAACTGTGGCAAGAAAGGTCATAAAATGGGATAAACTCACTGAACTGTCTTGCTTAGCAACAGAAATTTTGGGTGCAATTGTGATCATAAGTTGAGGACTACCTGTACGCTATTTTTCATTAAAGCATTCATTCCTCCAATTTTCAGTCATTTTGGTAATAGAGAAACAAAAGAAAAAGTCTAAGGTTGCACACCTTTCTAGAGTCTCTTGTTGCCTATACCTGATTCATGGGAAGCATCCAAATAAGAACAAAAGCAATTGCAATTAAAATACAAAGTTATAAGTTGCTCACTATGTTCTATAACAATTAAAATAATACAGTGTTTTAACCAAATCAACTTTCAAATAGATTCCAATCCATTTCCCCTGCCTCCAGTTTACTCTTCCCCCTCCAATCACTGGTCCATTTTCAGTATTCAACGTAATGGGGTTGTCTTGGTTTCTGCACATCCGTGAACTTTTTTATACTTCCAAAACTTGGATTTTCTTTACCTGTCACTATCTACCCCTAATTCTTAGACGGTGGAACTCTGGCTACATCGATGTAAGGATTTGGAAAAGGAGCTATGATTGTATGTGTTCTTTATAAAGCAAAAAAATTTTAAATTAAAGATTTTTAATACACACATATTATCATTATGTGTATATACACATCTACACATAATACCCTGATATTAAAAATCAGGATATATATATATATCCACACACATATAAAAAGATAAAGGTTCCCCTGCACATATATACTAGTTGTTCCTGACTTTAGGGTGCGGTGCTCATCTTTGTTTCAAAGCCAAAGAGCTAGCGCTGGCCGAAGACGTCTCCATGGTCATGTGTCCAGCATGACTAAACACTGAAGGCGCACGGAACCTTTCCACAAAAGGTAGTCCCTATTTTTCTACTTGCATTTTTTACGTGCTTTTGAACTGCTAGGTTGGCAGAAGCTGGGACAAGTAATGGAGCTCACTCAGTTATGCGGTGCTAGGAATTGGAACCACCGAACTGCTGACCTTTCTCATCGACAAGCTCAGCGCTTTAGCCACTGAGCCACCGCGTCCCTAATATATATTAGGGTGAGGCACAGTTTGTCCTTCATATACTATGTCTCAAAAAAGATCTATTGTTCTTGTATCTCTCTATACTCCACAGACAAATTGAATTATGTGTCTATATATGTGAATGAAGGATATGCAGGAAAACCAAGACATCTCAGTCCAAATCACCACTGAGCTATGAAGTTCACTCTCAGAATCTGACCTGTACCACAAGTCTGCTGTTCAGATAAATAAGAAACAGAAGAGTTAAAAAAAGAATGGGATGGTAATATAAACAATAGGACTCCTCGACATTGCTCTTTTAATATTTTAGGTTCCTAACAGAAAGTCTGGTGACCTTGAGGAAAAATCTGAGCCACCTGAGTCGAGAGGTTGATTGGATTCTGTATGCTCTCTTGTACAGTATTGAATATTTAACTGGATATTACCAAATGCTTGTTACACAGAAGAAAGAAACCAACGTCAGATGATATTGCTGGGGAGGTGGTGGGGGGAGGGAAATAGAACAAGAAAGAACAAAGCAAACCATGATAAAAGGGGCTGCTTTATGGACAAATGCAATAGAATTCTGCTTAGCTTGACTCACTTTATTCCCCCACTTTAGGCTTTTTTGTTTTGAAACAAAAGAAAGTGCAGCAAGGCTATAATTTCCAGAAAAGAAAGAAGAAGGAGAAAACAAACCGGAGGAGGACTCAGAAGCCTCTGAAATGCTTCATCCTCAATCCCTTCCTCCCCTTTCGGAGCCCAATCCTGAATGCTGAGTTCAGCAGGAGTTGGTTCTGATTTTGAACACACCCCTTCATGTCATCTCTGTACTTGTAGCTTTACATCCTGACATACAGGCATCTTCACATTGTGCTAATTTGGTGCTTTCAGAAGCAGTGCTGCTTCCCATTTGAAACTGCAATAATCACAATGATAATGCTGGCACAGCACTGCAATTAAGCAGCCTTTCTCAGCACCAGGAGGAGGAGGAGGAGGAGGAGGAGGAGGAGGAAGAGAGGAAGAGGAAACATGGGAGGAACTAAACTTATTTAACAGGGCAGTGGTTTTTCAATTTGTTTACTTGAGAGCATTTCATTCTCTTGCAGTGTCAGTAATCAAAAAGGGCAACTGCTATACTAACATCACAATAACTCCCTGGAACTCTTAGAAGTAAAATCCCATTTTGAAGGCCACTGAAATAATGGCATTTAGAGGCATGCCTTAAACGTGCCATACCAATAGTATTACTGAAAATGTATAGAAAAAGTGGCACCATAGCATGAAGTCACCAACTTATGAGGAAATACTTCACTTGTTCACACACTCAGTGGTATACACAAAACGTGTAAATAACTATAATGCGAAACACAATAGCATAGATTTATTTTTAATTTTCTAATAATCAGCTATTTCATTTTCTTACGCTACAATAGGAAGCAACTAAATTCATCAGAACAGGACTTATTTCTGAATACGGTAAAATAATTAAGATTGCACTACTGTTAATACTTCTAGAGTTTCACAGAACATAATTCCTGTGTCCGTGGACATTAAACTGTAACAAGAATATTTAGGATTTTTTTTAAGATAAAGGAGGTCCAGGGCTCCCATACATTCTACCTTTATATAAGACATATTGTACATAATACATAAAGTAACATGTCTATTAACATTTGCAATGGATTGCTTGTTCTGATATACGAAATTAAAACTGTTTTATTATATTATATCATATAATATGCTTGTGAGGAAATTAAGATATAAATCTAATCAATAAGTTCAAAAAAGTGACAATCAATTGTTCAGTATATTGTTCAGTACAGGATATTTTTTTTACACGCAAATACAAATTCTTTTTTATATGCCTGCAAATATACAATTTATCTTGTATTAAAAATGTTTGTCTGTATAATCTAACAGTCTCATTTCTATGTGTTTTTTTTTAAGAAAATGAATTAAAGGGTATGATGGAGAGATACTTGTTTTCCCTTAAAACCCACCAATATATTAAATTAGGTAAAGGCAAAGGTTCCCTTTGCACATACTGTATGTTCTAGTTGTTCCCGACTCTAGGAGGCGGTGCTCATCTCAGTTTCAAAGCCAAAGAGCCAGCGCTGTCTGAAGGCGTCTCTGTGGTCATGTGGCCAGCATGACTAAACGCCAAAGGTGCATGGAACACTGTTACCTTCCCACCAAAGGTGGGCCCTTATTTTCTACTTGCATTTTTTACATGTTTTCGAACTGCTAGGTTGACAGAAGCTGGGACAAGTAACAGAGCTCACTCCGTTACGTGGTGCTAGGGATTCAAACCACTGAACTGCCGACCTTTCTGATTGACAAGCTCAGCATTTTAGTCACTGAGCCACCGCATCTCTTATATTTAATTAAAGCAGTTCATATAATACAGCTTTCCACTGGTAATGCCTTCCAATCATTTTAGACTGTGCCACTTACAGATACCAGTCATGTAATTCTTTATGTATTTATCCACGATCGTAAAATATTTTGAAACGTGATGATATTTCCTGCATATATATTTTTAGAGCATCAAATTATTTTAAAGAGCGATTGCAATCTTCTCTTTACCAGTGGATTTCTGCTGTTCTTGGCACATTATGCCAGCTGGCAATTTGGAGCCATATAATGACTGTTTCTCCTTCCAGCCACCAAATCGTTACGCATTTGGCAGAGGATGGATCCTGGAATGTAAGACTGTAGACTCAAAACCAATGATATATAAACCCATCATTTGAAAATCCATGATGAATACATGCATGTGGCCTGTAGCAGAAGGGAATCTGCATTTAATCTGGATGCTTAAACCGCATCCTCTGTT